ATCGATTTTTCAACAAATATTTGGCGCTTTGTTTCCTTTTCGAGCGGAGTATGGGTTTCCTGTGGTGGTACACGGAATCCAGGACGGACGAAAAGGTACGTACGCGCGGGATCCCTGTGTCGGTCCATGAAAAATGGACTCGATGGTATACCATTTTTTCTTAGGTATGGTGCTCCGGGAGCTCCGCGGGAGCTCCGCTATAAATGCAGGTCGCCAAGTAGAGGTTATGTGGGACACAGACATCACGTTATGCCCATATATATAGAGACAAGGAAATCAAGGGGGAGTTGAGCCTATATCTCTTATAGCTAGCTACACGTTACATTATTAATGGAGTGATAAAAGAACGCACACCACTATTTGACTACAGAATGGCACAGTGTAGTTCCCAATGGTGTGGGTCACGCTTCTCACTTCAGTCATTACCGCTAAGGAGCACTAATTTAAGTTATGAGCTTCTCTCTAGCTAAGTCATTGAGTAGACCATAGTAAATATGGCTATACAGACCGGCATTCAGCTTTGAAGGAAATGGGAGAGGGTATAGTCGGAATTTTCAATTATGATATGCATGGGGGCATGGCATAAATGTTTTCATGTGGGTCGGGAGAAGTCATAAGCTTTTTAGTTCTTTCTACTCATTTCTGACCCCCTCTCCCCCTAATGGTTATTACGCAGTGCCTTAAAATCACTTGTTTTCAGATATCAATGAATGCGCTGCAAGCTCACACARYTGTGACTCAAATGCAGTTTGCAACAACACCAAAGGGTCCTTTTTGTGTACATGCAAGCCAGGGTATCTAGGGAACGGGCAATTGTGCGTCAATGCTACCACCAGTAAGTATCTGGTTATAGAATACTGTTACTATCAAATGTTAGGATCAATGGTTTATATATGTTGATTGTATTTCAGGAGGACTCGAGAAATCCTCCATTCTTTCTAACTATGGTAATGTCAGGTATCTGCAGGTCTTAACAACATATCTAGATCCTGTATTGCAAGATCGCGGCGCCAGTCATTGGAACCTGTGCTGGCATGCCAACTCAGATGGATGGGACGTCCAAAAACAATTTCACCCGAAATGCGACGGTCGTGGACCTTCGGTTACCATTGTTCGCGTCAAACAATACATTTTCGGGGGCTACACTGACGTATCTTGGAACAGTAAGTAGATAGATAATATAAGCCGCAGTGACTTGATTTCAATTGAGAAAAAGTGCATATATGTTATTACTGGCTATAGGTCGGTCCGTATAGGAGTATAGGAAAACACTGCCCGAGGTCTTGACAGTACGGAACTAGCGCAGCGAGGTCCGTGCATAAAAAACCGAGGGCATGCAGTGTTTTCCTATACGGACCGACCTATAGCCGGTAAATAACATTTTTATTTTTTTTTATTTGTATTTTATGCAACTTTGCTTGCAGCCTAGCTGCAGGATACCCTCGGACCGGGCAGATCGCATAAAAACCGGATCGCGCGCTAGCCAATCATAGCGCGCGAATCTAGGATACAGGACCGAAAAAAAGTACATTATATTATTGTATTCCCGCTAATCTGTGTATCATGTGGTTTGCCAGAAATATAGAGACTGCTCACTTCTCTTCCGTTATGTGGCTCGTTACCAGGTCCACCCCTCTGTTGTTGTTGGGAGAGTCACATATTGGCAGACTATACTCATAGCAATAATAACAGCCCGTCTGGTACATAAATTTGTAGGGGACCCTACACTCACAACTAGTACAAATGTTATTGATGTTATCTTTTGACATGACTACATGCTAGTGAATTATATGAATTGTAATTAGGGAACATTTTGAATGTCACTTGAGTAAAAGTCACATACGAAAGCGTGAATAGTGCCATCCACCAGATATCGGTCGGGTGATGAATAACCGGTATGGATAACTTTATACACCAGCAGCCCCTGAACTAAACGACTGAGATTGTCAATCAATGATAGATAACGTACAATTGTTTGTTTTAGAGAATGGTGGCTGTTCTTCTTCAAGTCAGTCGTTCCTGTACTCGCTGTACAACATCAAGGGATATCAACCCGTGCAGTTGAACCTGACAGGAATAGATAACAACAAATATGCTATTGATGGTCATGCTACGTATGGACCAACATTTGGCTGTGTATACTATTATGGCCTTCGTATCTCAAACAACGCATCAGGTAACGACTATTCCAACTCATATCTTGGCAATGCCTACCAAACACCCCCTGGCTGTATCTCATGTTATGATTTCTTTGTAGGTCACCGGAGGTTCACACCAAGTGATGTCGAAGTCTTCTATGAGACTACGGACTAATAGCGACCAAAACAAATAGACTATGATTATATACCCGGCGTAGTAAATAGCAAGTCTACTTA